TGTCTGATTAGATTCACTTGCGATCGCCAATTATAATAGGCGGTAGAAAACTTTTCTCTTTTTGCCTGGCAAGCAATGAAACCGCGACCTTGAAACGTTTCAAAATGGCATTGTCAGCCCATTTCTATGGTAGCCATTTTCCTTTCTTTTGGATCTTGTTCATCGCAAGCAAACGATTAAAAATAATTGACTGCTAAGTCTTCTTCTTCCCAAAGTCTTCAATAAGCTGCGTGATTCGAAATCTTTCAACTTTTGTGGCCCGCCAGGCCGTGTTTTGTCACCCCTCTTAAACCCCTTTGGAATATGATGGAGCAGCATAATCATAATGTTCTGTAAGTGTACGATTTCAAGAATGACTCGTGACTGAATAACTCACTAATACTAAATGAAAAATTGTTATTGTTTATGTAGAGAAGGTTCAAACTCATCGAATTTGATCGTCGTGGACCTAGATACTTGGTATTACTTAATCATTCATCACTAATAGATGTCGCTGATAGAAATACATTCATCAAGCATCAGATAAGAATTTCTGCTCGTTATAAGAAAGATAATGAAATTGCAGGCATATCGTTCACTGACGACACCAGTGTACAAAAAGTTTCGCAACGATAATTGAATATAATGCAAGAAAAATGTAATTTAATTACAAATGAATTTCCAAAAAATCAAGGAAAGAAAACAAATATATTGAAAAATGGATCTTGGGAAACTCGCCTTTACCTTCGCGTTTATAAGAATAGTAATGCCGAACAGTTGTGTGAAGTATTGATTTTTTTTATTTTATTTTTTTTTTATTAAAGACACGGTTGTATTTAATTTAATTTATCTTTGATTTAAGGCGAAAATCCTTAGAAAATTGTTAATTAACTATTGTTTGTCCCTTAGGAGGACGTATCTTAAATATTCCGCGCCATAACGTATAGTATGTCGTTTTAGTTCATTGTGACATTGAGTGCGAATGCAAGTACACATACATATATACATTTCGTAGTCTTTGTGAATTTTTGTTGTTATTGTCGTTTTTGAATTGTTTTTAGTTTTAATGGTCTTGCCTTACACGCATTAATTACAAATGCAAATATAAAAGGATATGGAATATATAATGATGGAGAACACAGACATAAGCATGAACTTACGTCATATACTACAGATGGTGGTAGCTTTTGTTTGGATGGCGTTGCGAAAAAAAATAAAAAAATAAAACCAATTAGGTCTTATGAAACCGTACATGTATGAACATATATGTATGTATGTATGTATGTATATATATATGAATGTATATATGTATGTACATATAAGGGATATAATATATGATTGTCTGTCTGCATATATGTATATTATACATACATGTGTAAATAGTTGCATGGGGTAAGTGGCGCTCTACGAGTGTGAAATATGTAAATAAGTGCTTAGGTTTATTAAGTGTCACATGATTACATTGGGGAACCTATTCTAGATTCATAAATAATTTCTAATGCATGAAAAGAGCTTTAAAAGTTACGAAAAACACATCACAGATTTATTAAACAAACACGCAACATCAATATGTATTTATGTAAATAATGAAATTTGAGCTTTTGTTTGGTTTGCATTAAACGAAGTAAAGCGTAAATAAATTAATTCAAGTTTCCACTTTCTATCGTTATTTTTTATTTTTTTTTTATTTTTTATTTTTTTATTTTTTTTGCTGAAACCACTTAAGATGTAAGAACGTTGATTAACAGTGGCGGTATTGTAATAAGGGATAAAAAATAATTTCACTACTCAAGGATCGAGAGGTAAGGGTAACACTTATGAGCCATGACCATCATACATCTACTTACGCACAGAGTATTCCGAAAATTATTGATTGTAGGAAGGGTTTTTTTTTTATTTTTTTTTTTCATTTAGCAAATGGATAAACACATTGTAATCACGCACACACACACACACACACACACACACACACACACACACACACACACACACACACTGAATCTTGAGAAATTTGTGCACATTTGGCACATTTGTCACATTTGGCAATTTTTGCTCTGGCTCAACACTTTTTAGATTAACTATTATCACATTTATATGCACACGGATGAGTACGGGTATAGCGATTGCGCAGAAGCTATGTTTTCCTGCTAACGAAGGCTTCAGCCTGAATGGACATGAAACGGAAAGTTTGCCAATTGCGTCGATATTAATTTACATAAAAGAATTAATTCTTTTATTGGTAACTAACAAAGCGATCTAGCAATTAAGTTTTTTTTTTTTTAGAGTTTTACCCCCAAAAGTTTAGCAAACAATATTGAACAAATATGCTTTTACTTATTTGTTTTATTTGCCCATTACTTAGCTGACCGCTTGATGGCATATGGAAAACTTTAAGAGTAAAAAAGTGAAAAACTTATACTCGACTAGAGCCGAATCTTGCACACCTACCACCATCATTACTATTATTATCTTTCATATTATTTATATGGATGTGGTCGTCTATATCCATTTTTTGGGATGAAAAATCTACCCAATGGACAATGGATTCTTTCGACTACATTCAACTACAATTTAATATTTTATAATAATGAGTGGGCGTTTATCCTAGGAGTGTTGGAAAAAAGTAAAAGAAATATGAAAAAGTTAGTAAAATAAAATTGAAAATTTGATCACTTATAGCTTTGTGTGCAAATTTTTCCTAACTTATAAAAATAAATAGTAGGTTCCCCCATAAAATAAGTTCAAAAAATTGCAGCTTCTTATTTTTCATAATTTCTAAGTGATGAGCAGAAAGCGAAACACTTTTGCCTAGGGGAACAGAGTTGCTTTCAATTTACTTTTTACTCTGGACAGGTGCTTTGACCGATTTGGCCCCATTTGGAACACGTATTTGTGTGCGAAAAATTTTCTATATTTCTGGTGGAGAGTGTTCAATAGCACATATCCAAACATCCGCACCGCCATGGATAATTTGATACAGAATTTGAATATATTTATGTATATATACGTTGTAGCGGTTCTGAAAACTTCTTCTGGCGGCATATATTATACGAAGTGAGTATACCCGCAAACTTGGGTGGTGGCTGCAAAAAATGGAAAATGTAATAGGAAAACAGCATAGAAAACTCTTAAGCATACACATGTAAACGTAATTATTTTATTCCTTTTGTGCATTTGATTATTTCTCTCAAACATTAAAACAAATAAAGATTAATGGCGACGAAGTGGTGATGATAATTAATTCAAAATGTTTTTACATTAAAATAAAAGATATTTGCTAAAGTTTCGAAAGAACGGTTACGCTGTTCCCCTTTCTTTCTCTTTTTTTAAACTTTGTTGCCTCTTCTCTACTAAAACGGATTGCGGTTTGTATTTCAATTAACTTTACGTAGTCCTTAATTAATAATTTATGCAAAGTTAAAGTTAAAATACATACATATATGCACTATATATGCACTAAACACTAAATCTGTGCACAATTTACTTTGATATATATATATACATATGAGCACCTATATTCATGCACATCTGCACTGACCACAAAATCCGATATTGACACAAAATTTGATCTCGACTGTAATAGGTTTTGGGAATATTTTCTGTTCTGTAAATGGAATTTGGGATATACAGCTGCTTGGCTATACCCTTAGCAGGGTTTTTTTCTAATATTTTCTTATTTGAGAGATATTACTTTCTTCAGTGGCTGTGGCTACTCCGTATCTCTTTCATCAATTCTTTTTGATCACCGCCACATTACACGTATAATAAACATCCGCTACAGGACTAGTGTTTTAAAAAAAAAAATTAATTCCTATATTTTTGTTGCGTGTTTACGTTGCGCGCAACCTATCCACACTCCCTAGCTATTGAAGATTTATTTTACTTAACTTGAAGTACAATAATCAAAAATAAGTTAAACGTTTCAAGCAAAGCCGATATAAAGTGCCCTATACCACTTTGTCTAACATGAATTTTCTGTCTTACGACTATAGAGTTGCGCACCTTCCTAGAGAAGACTTACGTGAGGATAGGTGCGGAAAAGAGCTCGAGAGCTTAGCATTCTCTTGTATCAATTTTCAAGTTAAAATACGAAAAATTAAATTTCAAGGCGATACAAAGGCTTATATTTCGCAGGATCATTACCTAGAAGGCGGGTCAAGAAATAGTCCCATCCTATACAGATTTTTCTTATTCTTTTCACCGAATTTTTGTTTCGTGCAACGATATTTAAAATGATTTGGTCCTACACGCAGTCGTATGTTATCCTTATGTATTTAAAATGCCATAAGTATATTTTACTTTCAATTCATTTTACTTTTATAGCAAGCAGTTGGTTGTTCTCCGGTGAGTGTTACAGGGATGCTGTAATAAGTAAGAACTGCATAAGTAGGAACAGAATGGAATGGGAGTATCACTTTTGAAATAATTCAGATGACACACTTCGAATGCGATCAACTAATTGGCAATGCCGATTGGTATTCGAACAAGAGTGTAGGGAAGAAGAAAATGACTTTTTGCTACCTCCTGCTCCTTCTTGACTGAACCGCCGTCGAGATGAATATAGCAAATATAGCAAAGTCCGTCGTCATCCGAATGAGGGATATTTTGTTAGACGATCGTCCGCTCCGTCCAATGACCACTGACGATATCTGGCTTGTGTTCAGTCTACGTATGTTGGGTGTAATTTTTAGCCGCTAGGTTATGATTCAATTATTCGAATTCAGGTGGTAACGTAACATAGCTAGTACAAGGTAGTTGAATTGTAACAAAAGAAGTTATTGAGATTTTGATTCAGAGGCGGAATATTATTAACGAGGGTAGGGAAACCTGGAATAGCCACTGAAGCTACACCAGCAGTATTTATCTAGAGAGGAATTTCTTCGAAAATTATAAAAGGAAAAATTCCCATCATCACAGGGTATATATATATATGTATATATATTTATGTATATTTAAATAAAAAAACCATCAGCATCATGCAGAACGTGTATCATTTTTAAGATCCAATTTTTTTGTCAACTAACACATAGTTTGTCATTAATTTGACTATCCACATATCTTGTGAATGCCTTCAAACTCAATCGGCTTCACTTTACTACTATCTAAAACTTTCGCTTACAAACACTCATTTTTTTCTGTTGTAAAAATAAAAAGCGTGTCGCAGCAATCTCTGCTAAGAACTGTCGCAATATTCGATTTCAATTTCCGGCTTAAAATATTTGTTGACTGATTTGTGTTTTTCGGAACAACAAGGGACTAACGAAGAATTATGACCATCTATTATGCCTCCGAAGTAGCTACGTGTAGAGGGTTCGGCTGTTTCCCGAAACTCTTGCTGAGGTAAGCGAAAATACGTTTCTGATCGGAATTTATTTTTTACCCATACATATATAGATGGCGCGCCAGTATTTATAAGCTATTATGGGTGGATTTGGTCATTTATATACTTATTTATTATAGTCTGAATTGCTGTTATATGTTCTTATTTACTGCTGCCCAGAAGAAGTAAGTACCTCCCTTGAGCGCCCGTAGATTTCCAAGTTTTAATATCTGAAATTTGTTTAGGGTTTTTGAGGATTTAGTTTCCTATTGCTATCAGAGAGCGAGTTTGATTCCAGTGATATTCGTTTTGGGTTTCTTTGTGTCTCTTGCTGTCCAGCGGTGGTGGGCTCAGTATATGACGTTACCATGGCCTGATAGTACTGCTGTTTATGTCAGCGCTCTGGTTACCGGTCAAGATGAACGAGGCCGTTTAATGCGGCGAACAATAATGCGTTATGTATGTTTATCGCATACGCTCGTAATGACTATGATAGCGCCGCGTGTCAAACGGCGTTTTCCTAAATTAGAATATATAAAAGATGCCGGGCTCTTAACTGAAAACGAAATGAAAATATTCAAAGGAATGATTGAGAAATTTGGTTACCAACATACCTATTGGGTTCCGATAGTGTGGGCAACAAGCATCGTGACAAGAGCCCGAAAGGAGGGACGTGTACGCGATGACGCTTCGTTAAGATCCTTGATTGATACTCTTAACGGCTTTCGCGGAATGCTAATGGTTTTGCTTTTTTACGACACAATTAGTATACCATTAGTCTATACTCAGGTAGTAACCATAGCTGTGTACACTTTCTTTGTGGCTACTGTTTTGGGACGTCAGTGGACGCCAAGAAGTGATGCCGATGGCGTTTATAACTTGGTAGATCTCTTTTGTCCCATAATCAGCTGCTTGGAGTTTTTATTTTTTATGGGCTGGCTTAAAGTAGCCGAATCTTTAATTTCTCCTTTTGGTGATGATGATGATGATTTTGAGGTAATAACCCGTACATCGTTGAACGTATATACTTATCGTAACGTAATAACTTATCAAATTTGTACTTGCAGTTAAATTGGTTAATTGATCGTAATATTCAAGTATCATATTTAATAGTCGACGAAATGCATCACGATCATCCTGAGTTGGTCAAAGATCAATACTGGGACGAAATATTTCCTATGAAAATACCTTTAGCACATGACGTTGAGCAAGGCAAGGTGCATGTGCGTTTCGAAGAGCCACCTAAACATTCAACTGCTAAAATGTATACTTCCCGTTATCCTTCAAATGTTAGTTAACAAATGTAAAATGTATTTAAGAAAAAACAAAAAATTTCAAACGGCAAACACTTTCTAGGAGTCATTTTCTACCCTAGGGCGAGGAGGCAGTCACACCACAGTATATTCGGACCATCTTTTTGGTATTACTTCGGCTCTAAAAAAATTCTTGAGTATGGGGGAGCGGCGATCAATATCCGATATACCACGCACAAGCTCATCTTACTCAATTGAAAAAAAGGTAGGATACGAAGCACTAGAGGGTGAAGACGAAGAACATAGTAATATTGAAGGAATATCTTCGCAAAGTACTAATTGGGAGCGGTCTCAGTCAATGGATTTATTTGATGAATTGCAGCATTTAAGATCGAATGAGAAAAGGGAACGTCAGAAGAAGAAAATCGCATTTTTGCCGTATGACGGCTTACCTTTTCAACAACAAATGCAAGAGCAGCAAGAGCGTCAACTCCTTCAGCAACATGAACGAATTTCACAGCGTCCAATAAGACGATCAACAGTAGCACCAGGGCCATCGGTAGTACTGCGACCATCATTAGTGGTTCGACCATCTTTAACACAAAAACAACAACAACCTGTTTTGCAACCACCGGATCAGCAAACAGAGCAACAGCAAAGGGACAGTCTGCAACCACAGAAGCAACTGAAATGGCTAGATCCACCGACGTCAGAGGACGATGTGCAGATCCAACAGGGCGAAGAAGCTCCGACTGAAAAGAATTTGAAAGAATCGGAAGACGATCAACAACAGGAGAGAGACGAAATTGAGTATCACGAGAAGGGACAGGATGATTTAGAAGCTGAAGAAGAAAGTGCCTGGAAACCACAAATGACACAAGCGGAAAAGGAAAAAGAATTACAAGAGGAGGAACAAGAGAAGTCAGACGACGAAAATGATAAAACTAAAAGGCTATAGTGAAAATAATTAACAACCTTGCCATATTTATTATGGCGTAGTTATTACGCTCTCCGCAATCAATCAATCCATCACATATTCTTTTCTTGTCAAATTTTGATTTTTCTTAATTTAATTTAATTGTCACTTTGTCATTTTGTTCTGTATTGGCATTGAATCGAATAAATTATTTAAATTCTTACATAATACAAAGTGAAATTGTAATAATGACTGTCACCTATACTGCGGAAGTAGCAACATGCACAAGATTCGGTTGCTTCTTAAAATTACTTGCTAGGTAAGTCGATGCAAATGATGAGCTGTGTTGGCACTTAATTGTCCGCTTGCTAGATGGAGAGGAAGCATTTATAAATTGGTGTGGATGGATTTACTATTGTTTTTACTTTTGTTCTATCTTATTAACTTATTATACATTTACGGATTGGAAGATGATCGCAAGAAGTGAGTAAATATTTAACTTGTTGTGCATAGATTTGTTTAAACGATTTATTTTGTTTATTGCATTGTCCTTTGAAAGGACATTTGAAGCTGTGGTGGAGTACTGTTCCAGCTATGTTACTCTCATACCTTTGTCGTTTGTGTTAGGCTTCTACGTGAATTTAGTTATGCAACGATGGTGGGAACAGTATATGACAATACCGTGGCCAGACTCTTTGGCTGTTCTTGTTAGTGCTCACGTTCAAGGTGATGACGAAGGTGGCCGCGTCATGCGACGCACAATAATGCGCTACGTATGTGCGTGTTGCACTATGGTTTTATCCATGATATCGCCATGCGTGAAGAAACGTTTTCCCAAATTACATCATTTAGTTGAGGCCGGTCTTTTGCAAGAAAATGAAAAACAAATAATCGAGGACATGAACACCGCTTTTCCTAACCATCCAAAGCATTGGATGCCCATTGTCTGGGCCACGAGCATTGTAGCGAGGGCTCGTAAAGAAGGACGGATACGTGATGATTACGCCGTGAAGACACTTATTGATACTTTAAATTCTTTTCGTGGGTCATGCGGTACTTTGATGTATTACGATTTTATCACCGTACCGCTGGTGTATACGCAAGTTGTAACAATAGCGGTATATTCGTTTTTTATCTGCAGCCTCTTGGCGCATCAGTGGACAATACGAAAAGCCGATACCTACGAATCTTTGGATTTTTATACACCGGTTTTTATGACTTTGCAATTTTTTTTTTACATGGGCTGGTTAAAGGTCGCAGAAACCTTAATCAATCCATTCGGTGAAGATGATGACGATTTCGAGGTACCATATGACAATTATCATTAAAATATAAGCCAGTAGAAGACGCACCATGTCTATGTAATTTAATATAGGTCAACTGGATGATCGATAGGCATTTACAAGTCTCATATATGATTGTCGACGAAATGCATCAGGAGCATCCCGAATTGGTTAAGGATCAATATTGGGATGAAGTCTTTCCCAATGAATTACCTTATGAGACGGATGTTAAGCGAGAGAAGCCGCCAGAACACTCTACTGCCAAATATGACAAAGAGTATAACGCACCAACCCACTCAGGACAAGTAAGTTATTTTAAACGTGACCAACTAAATTATAGTGCTTGTCCTACGTTCTCAGCATAGTTTAGCCAGTCTTGATAAGTCGAGGGGCAGGCTTACGAGTGTATTTAGTCAACGCAGCGAACAGTTTAACCAAACATTTCAACGGTACTCGACTCTTTCCGATAACGAGTTGCCACCTATGGAACTGAAATCAAAAACACATTTATTAGAAACTGGTTCGTTAATATCGGCTACAGAGAGCATACAAACTATAACATCATACTATTTGCCACGCCCTACTACTCGAACAATTCTCCAGCCATATTTCTTCGAAGCAATACTAGAGGATGTAGAGGAGGGGCTGTACGAGGACGACTACGATGACCGTATTGAATCCAAAAGCACTGATAAAGGTGGCTTTATTTTTTTTTTACAGTAAATTTAAATTGATTTTATTGATTTCATTTAAAAAAAGGCTCTAGCGAACCCGAATATGAACTGGACTTGTTTGATCGTTTGCGCCTTGAACGTCAACAGCAGCGTGTTAAACGTATGAACGACTATCTCGAAGATCAATTCGGTTCGAATTTCAGGCTTGCCTACAAGGATCCAATGCCGAGGCCAGCTAAAAAAATTCAAACCGAAGCTGGGAAAGATGAAATGAACGAAGTTCAAACACTTTTTAAAAGCGATAACATGGCAAAAATTCGATCACCAGCCAAAACGCAAACGGTGCAATTTCAGGATGAAGTACAATTTACGCCAAAATACGCCACTGTTGCAACGTCCCCCATGGAGTCTTTTTCAACATTGTCTGTAGTTTCGGAAGATTCTAGGCAGGCACCGGTTACATTATCGACAATCGGGACGTCGCCTATGGAATCTGCATCAACTCTATCCTTTGTTGCTACAGGAAATAGGGCACCACAACCTGAGCATGTTATTTTAACCACGTCTCCCATGCCTTCGGGTCTTAGCATACTTACAGTGTATTCATCCGAAACTGAGATACATGAGACGTCTAACGGCAATTCTCAAGAAAAGAAATTGCAAAGGAAAGACGAAGATAAATAACGCTTTCCTTACTTGATTGTAAATTATTATCGCTACATAATCATTACAAAAAATAAATTCTTCTTACTTATATGTGTGCATGTTTGTGAAACTATTTTTGCATTTCACTAAATTTCACCTAATGTCCCTTTTTGGATAATGCCTTAATACCTCTATACACAATATTCCTTCCAAATTGTAAAGCAAGTAACGTGCGGACGTAAAATCTATATCGTATCTATGTTGATACGCGACAATAGTAGTCGTTTTGGGGTGCGTAGCGGGGCAAGATGCTTTAGTCTCAGTATATAAAAAGCAATCGACTATATATTTAAACGCGCATACACACACACACACAACAGCTCATTAAGCAGATTTATGGGACCTATAATAAATGGTTGCAATCAAATGTTTTTTAAGCAGCAGTTGGCAGTTCGCAGCCAACTGAAATGAAATTAGACCACAAATCGCGATAGGATGCAGGCAAGCGACAGGGCGAGTGAGTGCGTCGCCATCAAGCTTCAACCAATTATAAAAAGCTAGGATTATATTATAATTATTGATAATACTTTGTTACATTGTGTGTTTTAAGTCAATGAATTTTCAAAAATGTATAATGATTTTATTTTACTATTTAGCGAGAGCGTGAAGGGTCGAAAAATACTAAGTCCGTATAATCTTATGAAAAAAACATCGCTATATGAACAAGAATGAACAAAGTGTTGACTTTGTGAACTTTTTCTTTTTCTTCTTCGCTTCATGGTCGGCCATCAAATTTTCTCACATGTGTGGATTCATATTCACAATCTGCGTTTTTAATTATCATGAATAGAATTGTTAAATTAAAACCGACGTTGAAATACAACAAAGTCGCTTTCACCTAATGTCATGTTTTATTTCTTTGTTTTTAATTATATATATATATATATATATATAATATTCTATATATTGGTATGCGTATATAATTACGTTTAGGTATATTCGTTTATTTGTTTGTGTAAATATATATGTCTATATGGTACCGATGTCCATTTAATTAAAATTCAACTCGATGAGAATCGTCATTGCCGCATAAACTTTTATCGATTTAACCAGTCTTTCTATTGAGATATGTGTGTGCGTGTGTGTGTGTGTGTGTATCTATCTATATATTGCATATATTTGTCTGCTGTTAAATAAATTTGCGAAATTTATATTGTCGCTTGAATAATTTTTGCCAGTTTGGATTTTTAATAGTGCACATGCCTCTGTTTGTTTATACATTTATACATAAAAGCATACACACACACTCCCATATTACGTGTTCATATATTTTGGTACGTAATTTTATTTAAAAATTTTTTATATTTCTATAGTTATATATTTATATACATTTATACATACTTTGTTTATGTGTTTTAAACACTTTTGTATTTTTTGTTGTTTTTTGTTGTTGTTGTTGTTGTTGTTTTTTTTTTCAACTAATAGTTGCGTATTGTGTGCTATGGCAACGGTCTGTGACTACATACTGAGCGAAACCGCTGAAAAAAGTCAGGCGAGCACTGCGTATACGTTATGTGTATAGAAAAATGATTGTGTTGGCCAGTATAGTGATCCGTTATTTTATTTGCATGTCGCTTTCAACGCAAAAATCAAAAAATAACCAACTGTTGTTGGTTAACTGATTGTCTAGTCGACAGATGAATATGAAGGATTTACCCAATCTACGCGCCGACAACGAGAATGGGAAGAGGAGGTGTGCGAAAAATGTAATGTTCACTTTCGCAAAAGTGCTACGCACTTGTGACGCCATCAATCAGATGTAGAACGCCAAAAAGTGTTAATTGCCAATTATGGATAAATTTGTTCAAGCAAAGATATGGCCAATCAAACGCACATGAACGGTGGTTATTGCTGTCGATGCAGCTCCCCATGCATGTTTCTGTACATATATAATATTACTGTTAAATTGTTCACATTTTTATATTTATCGCCGGAGAATGTGTTCATTTTGCCTTACCATGTGGAAGAATCAGAAATGAACTTTGAAACGTCAAGTTACAACAGCTACCAAAACTCTTGAGCATTTTGTGTCTTGAGCAACTATATCCGTTTATCCATCCGGTTTGGTTTTGACTTTTATTAGAGAGTGTAAAAAAATAAGAAAAAATGTTTTTTTTTTGAATTGATATGGAATGTGTGCAATCGATAAGCGGATCTTAAAAACATAATGCGACTACAAGGTTGCGATTAGTTTTCGTTGTTCGTTGGCCTAAAGAGAGGTGAAGCTCATGTAAAATCCATTTTCAATCCAAGTATTCATAAAATTGAACCTTTAAACATGCTTTCAAACCAGCTATATATTCACGAACAACTACCGGGAATGTTTCCCAAAATGATAGATTATTAGGCATAGAAGGCTCGAAGGATCGAAGCCGAATATAATTGGTCTTTACTACGTTTTCTGTTTCTCTTTCTGTTTCTGCCGGTTTTTATTTGAATTTCCATCTTTGCATAAAGTCAAATCACTTTATATCGTGTATGGCTCTTGCCGAGTCGTGTATGGTTTTATGCGTTTCCGCAATGTTATAATTGTACATATATGTAATATTATGTGTTGAAGTACGTTTATGTTTACCCTTATTTGTAATAATTGTATGCTTTATAGGAAATAAGCATATTTTGGTTGGTACTTCTGTACCTGATATTTTTGTAGTTGTTGTTGTTGTTGTTGTTGTTTTTCATGCTATTGCCACTGTTGACCAAGGCTTCGTTTCATTTTAAAATTATTTGATTTAATTTATTAAACAAAATATAATCAAACCAATCAGTCATTATCGGGCGAGAGCAATCGACTAGCAATACGATAGACAGGCAAATAAATAGACCGATAGGCAAAGGTCTCAAATTTGCAGCTCTATAATTTATCTTATCAAAACACTTTCATATACACGCACATACGGACATGCATGTTTGTGAATAAATTTACGTTATTATCATGAATGGCTGGCAAGTAATGTTATTGGGCTTCCAATTCATGTGGAAGCATGTCAAAACCGAAAACCGCAACATAAATCAATTTAACATTAGAAAATTCCATATACGAAATGTGTAATTATTCAGGTACCCATGAATAATAATCAATGCCTAGCCATATACTGCATAAGTCTACATTTTAAATTTCTTTTCTCAAATTTCTTTGTTTTAAGTTATTTCTCGCAAAATAAGTTTTTGCTAACAGTCACTGTTATATGATCGTACGCGCAAAAAATGATCATCCTTACGATATTATGAATTCTCGTAAGAGCCACCAGTTAAGAAGAGGAACATTTTGAGAATGAGATCTTTTTTTGTAAATTCACTAAACTCGTTGTACATTGCATTGTATTTTCGCTTGAAAATATTTTTTAATGAGAGTGAATGAAAACTTTCTAAAGATTTTAGAGAAATTAAAAAGCAACCGGCAAGATGTTAAGCTTTAAGCGAAATTCCAGCATCCAAAATACCTTTCTACTCCAGCCGTTTAGGAAATCCCTGTGGAATTACTTGAAAGTTCCAAGAAAAAATCTCGCACAAGTAATTGACCTTCTTTTGACAAGTTCTGAAAAATTCAAACAGACAACTAAGCAAATGCAAAGAAACGAAAAAAAAAAAAAAAAATGGAATTTTTTACTTTGACTCTATAACGCTTCGATTTGTCTTTTTTAGCTTATCGCCACCTATTCTTCAAGCGCTCGCACAAAGCTTCTTAAGACGAAGATAATGCGTCAATTTTTGATGCCCGCTATTTTGGATATATTGAATGTACAGGGAATACCGATTGCGCTATATTGCATTGTCGTCGGATGTTCTCTTGCAGTATGATGGGAAATATCTGAAATAACGATTCGCAAATTATACTTTAATACGAAAGCATAATAAAAAAAAATTTTTACAATAGAAATACAAAACTTTGCTAATTGTCACGTTTAATGTGAATATACAACGCATATTTACTTATGTTGCAATTACGTTTACTTTAAGCTTAAACTGCTTGTAAGTATATATACTATAGCTACAGCCGTTGAAGAGTGCGTGTCTAACTTTAAATAATTTTAAAGAAATTTGCATAAATATAAAGTTTCTCAAGTTGTTCGTTCCAGCACCGTCAGCAGTCTAATCGCTCTAAGCCTGATGACAACAATGATTTATGCACTATTTGGCAGTCGGCAGCCGGACTGTTCTTAAAAAGAGTAAAAGAAATAAATAGAAAAAATTTATATTAGGGCAACGATTTTGACTGAAGGACGTTGTATGTAATGTAAAACATAAACCGTGATCCGGACGCCTCTGCAGAGCATGTGATCTAAAACGAACACTTACCTCTCCGACTGTCTAAAGTGAGGATATATAGATAGATACTCGTATGCTTCCGCGTTATAAGTAATGAGCAGAGTTGCAACAATTGGTATCCAAACTTGCTTTGTATAGCAAGAATGTAAAGTAAAGTAGAAAATAGAATAAAGATCAGAAGGAATACATATAATATATTACATATATTTTCGTTCATTTTCAACAATTTCAAGTCTTTGTTTTGCAGTACAAAACTCAGCCATCAGCAATGATTTCGTAGCAGAGAATAAGTAAAATCAATCGAACAGAAGGATCAATATTACCAAAAAAAAACAAAAACGAACAATTTCCCTTTGTTTTAACATTGTTGTGGTGATTGAGGGCTTATATCTTAACTTGTATAAATACAGTAGTAAATTAAAAATTAAAAGTGAAATAAAAATTAGGTCCAAAGTGAAGATAGCTTTTTTTTCGCCATTAGTTTGCAATGCAACATAACAAATATTTATTAATTACGTAATAATCGTAACGGCTGAAATTTCATCATCATCGCTCAGCGTAATATTAACAATAATATTACAACTATTATTATTATTATGATTATAATTTTAAACAAATGAAATAAATTGTTAGACTAAAAAAAAAAAAAAAAAGACATTGAGCCCTAGCAAAACACGCTATCGGCTCTAATTTATAAAAGTACCTTAGAT